AACCCAACCCTAACTATGTCTCGTCTCTCTCGTCCTTATTGTCGTACTTACGTTAGTTAAAGTTAAGTAGTATATATAATATATATATATATATATATATATATATATGGAAAAAAGATGCGAGTAGCCCACTTGCTCAACCCATTCAAATGCACCTAACGGCAGTAATTAGATGGGATAGATTGGAACCCTTGTTCCTGAGGGTAACTCCGTTCCTTCTTATATTTTGTTACTTCGGTTTGTACAATATTTCGTAGTGTAATATTTGGCCTTACAATATACTCATTGCACAAATATGGTACAGGAAAATATTACCTTGTACGTTGGGTATTCTACTATGCGTGGTTTCATAAGACCATATCGAAGAGTCCGTTACCATCTAAACGAATTACTTCAGGCCTAGGAGCTCTTCAGGAAACACTAGGAGTTATTCAACAAGCGTCATTCCACGCTTAGAAATGTGGTGGAGAGGACATTTGGACTTTGGAAGGCCAAATTTTCTGTACTCAGGAATCAAATGCAGTATCCTTTACGAACACAGGTTTATGTAGTTATTGAATGTGCAATATTGCACAACTACGTCATAATGCCATGGGGAACCGATAGCAAAAAGAGCTGCGTTTTTGACGGAGGGTTGAGAGTCAACTTGTAATTGACAGAGATGATGGGTTTTTACAATTGACTCAGGGGCACGATCATGATGTTGGTGTCAGTCTGCGAGATGCCATGGCGACGCAGTTGTGGGAGGCCTACCTAAGTCGCTAGCACTTGTAATTAAAATCATGTTCTACATTTCATATAGACTTTATTTTGTGGCCACAAATTTTCGAGTCCTCGTCGAATGTTGAGTCCCATGTCATTGTTGAATGGGCTGGTTTTGTACATGGTTTTCTTTATGGATGTATGAATTGCGAATGTTCCTTTACACGCATCACGAATGTCTTAACAGGTAACATATAAATATTGTGTGCCATTATAATCTTAGCAAGAGAGTGAGAGAGCACACAAATGTTGTGTGCATGACTTGTGCATGACATATATTTTTGAATTGTGAGTGACGTATATTTTTTAGGCTGGGATACGGATACATCAATGGTGAATGTAAGTAGTGTTCAAGTTATTACGGTTTATTGTTGAATGAGCTGATTTTTTACTGCTTGCATTGTGCATGTGTGTTTGAATCAAACTGATGTTTTAGTTCTTGCATTTTTAATTATGTATGTTTAAACTATTACAGGTTATTGTTCAAAGTTAATTAAATTGAGGTTGTGCTTGACATTGTCTATAGACTGCTCTAATTTTGAGGTGTAATGTAGTTTATTGTGAAACATTTGCATCAATTGGTGTACAAATGTATCTCTCTCTAGGACACTTCTCTCACTCATCAATTAAACTCTCTGATAACTCTTTTTTTCTCAATCCAATGTATTTTACTTTCAATTGATATTGTATTCTAAAAAATAATAGTATACAAATTAATAAAAAATAAATAAATAGCTAGGTCTTAATTTTAACATTTACATTTTGTTTATTATTTAGATATAATCTAATACATATGTCCTGCTTTTCTTTAACTTCTTAGGAGGTTATCAAATCAAACACAGAAAGGAGGTTATCAAACTTCTTCTCATGAGGTTATCAAACACATAAATCAGGAACTTTTCAACAAACACAGAGTCGAGGTTATCAAACACAGAAATTGGAAACTTCTTAAGTTCCCATGAGGTTATCAAACGCAGAAATTAGGAATTTTTCAACTTCCCAGAGATGTTATCAAACACAGAAACCTTGAATTTTTTCAGGAATTAGTATAGTTCTTTAGAAACTTTCAATTTACAAATCATGAACTTAGTTATCAAACAGGCCATTCTAATAAGAAAAAAAAGGGCAAGAGTTGGTTATCAAACAGGCCATTCTATTACGAAAAAAAAGGGGAACATTGGGCCCAAATATAGTAATTTTGGGAAAGTCGAAAGATATTATATTTCTGTATGAATATACTATCTATTTACTTCTTTAGGTAAAATCTAGTCTAAGATCAATTTCAGGACCTCAAAATTTAGGATGTAGCATATTCACCCTCTATGTCCTTGAAAAAAATAATGCTTCAAAATATGTTAGAGACCATCCAATTTTAAGAAGGTAAAGAAGGTGAGATATAAGTGTTAAAAAATTTAAAATTACAAAATTTTCTATTGAAAGTAATCATGGATTGTTGAGTGGGTCCCAAAGTTACATATTGAGAACATCCTCCCAAGTGGGTCATTCGGCTAAGATGTTTCTATGCTCCTGTGGGAACAGGAGCATAGTATATGGACTCCAACAGAATAAATATTTTTGCAGAGGGTGAGGTTTGTACAACGGGCCGCATCTAAAATTTACTTGGAGATGTAGTTTTAGTGTTGAAAACGGTTTGAAAGTCTATTTTTATTTTAATTATAAGTTTAAAATTTAAAAATAGTACAAATCAAGCATATCTATAAATATTTGTAAATCTAAAAAATAAAAGATCTAAATAACTTATTATAAAATATATTATTTTTAAAATTTTAAAAATAATCTTTTTATTCATAAAGATTTAAATGATAAATTGGAAGGTTCTTCAAAATTGGAATACTCTTATAAAGGATCTTTGAGGTGCATGTTTTTAAATGGAACGGCAAAAGTGACACGCAGGGTCGGATATAGGGCATCATGGTCTTACTTAAAAAAAGTAGCGAGGATATTTAAGTCATTTTCATATTTAAGGCAAGTGTCAATCGGTTCGTCTCGATTTAGCCTTTTTTTTTTATTTTTTTGAGATACGGTTTCTATGACTATGAGTCTATGTAGAAATGAGTCACTCTTAAAATTTTATTTTTGAGATGGATTTTCAGACCTAAGTTTTAGAGACATGTAATCTCTAACATGGAGATTATGGATATAAAATAAATAAATAAATTTGAAAAAATAAAAATAATGATTTTATGAAGAAATCATTTGGATTGTACTTTGGTTTCCATTGTGTTTAGATGGACCACCTATTTATAGCTATCTTTAAACTGGATGCTTTATACCTTGAGAATGCATATTGTAAAATGCAGTCCAACCCACATGAAACAATTTTTTTTTTTCCCTTTCTTCTTATGTCTTTCTTTCATTTTGTTTTTAGCCCACCATCCCACCCTAGCCATAACAAGGCCAGGCTTGGATCAGCTTTATGGGCAAGGCCAAAGCCAGGGCCACCGCTGGCTAGCCAATAGGGTAGCAATGGACCCGGACCAACCCAAGACCCGAGAGATAGACTTGAGGTGGGTCCAGGTATGGGTTAAAAAATTGGACCCAATGGATTAGCCCGAGTCCAAATCTTGGACCCAAATATTATTCAGGTTTGGATCTGGGGTCTTGGTCCAGATCCAATAATATTTTTTGTGTCCCAAAATATTAAATATAGATAAATATATAAAAATTTTAATTTTAAAAAAAGTTTATATAAGGTTGCAACCTTAGAATGTAGAATTACATATGCACCTTCAATCTTTCAGAAAATGTTGTTTTAATGTTGAAAAATCCTCTAATTGATCATCTCGACATTGACATCTATGAATATTAAAAAAAAAAGATTTTGAATTCCAAAAATAGTGCATCATGCAACATATTATCTAGACCCTCCATTTTCAAGATTTCCATATGTTTATAGCTCTACTCAATTTTAACTATTTTTAGAATTTAAAATTTTATAATTAGATACAAAAATAAATTTTCAAATAATCTTAAGAATTTTTAACACCGATAAATTTTGAAGGCACCTTAATTGGATTTTGTTGAAAGTTACAACATATAAAAACCACACCTTTAACGTTTCTATGCTACCACCAAGTTTATCTATATATCCCTTCATTTCGAAAAAACCAAGATACTTTTATAGGTATTGTATTTTTTATTCTTTTTGCAATTTCCAGATCGAATACTCTTCACATAGAGTCTTTTATCTTGCTAACTCTGCATTGCATCTCTCGAAGGTATATACTATAATAAACCATATTCATGGCGCACTATAAAACCTTTTAGAATGAGTCTTAAAGGTCTCCATAATTGGGATTTCAATGATGCCTTAACGTACCACATCTTTTAATTTACTGCAGCATAGAACATGAGCATCCCATAATAAAAATATGATACCCGCTAACTCATAAAAATTTTATCTCCGAATCCTATTGAGTATTGAAATAGAATTCCAGTCCGGGTCCCTATTCTTTTGTGGTCTAGGTCTGGCCGGACCGGACGCAACACGTGTCCAGCGTGCTGTAACGACCAAAGTGAAGTGGGATGGTGGGGAGCGGCGTTGTTCGAGTGGTGGAGAGTACGAAGCCCGCGTGAATGACGATGCACGTGTGCCAATTTTGTACGTTTCTCTTCTAGTGGTTCGTCCTTAAGAAAAATTTGTCATATTCGAATGATATAAAACACAATGAATAAATAAAATAAGGATAAAGGGGGCTGACCAAGATTTACGAGGACAAGGGAATAAGTTCCTGTTCCCCAGAGAACCAAATAGCAGTATAGTACAAACTCTACCATATAACTCACACGTGCTAGTCAGCATTTGTAATTTAAATAGGGAAAAGTTTATATAGAGCCGAGGCTCTAAACAATCAAATTTGAACCTACCTTAAAAATTTTACTAGAAGAGATTGTTTTGATGCTCAAATATCTTCAAATTGATCATCTCGACATCAAGATGTATGGACATGAGAAAAAAATAGATTTCAAGTTTTGGAAATAGTGTATTTTGTAATGCATTTTTGGACCGTCAATTTTTGAGATTTTCAAGTTTTCATAGATCGGTTGATTTACACTATTTTTTAAGCTTTAAAATTTATAAATAAATATGAAAATGCATCTTAAGTCTATCATAGATTTTCAGTGTTGAAACCACATTTCTCGATACTATTTGAAGGTAGACTCTAATTTGATTGTTTAAAGCCTAAGTTCCATACAAACTACACCCTTTAGATATAAGTGCCTGTAAGGCCGCGGCTACGAGCGAATGTGCAGTTCGGGCCCTACCAACAAGTGGTCTTGTACTTATCCAAAAAAAGAAAAAAGATAAAAGATAAAAGACAAAAAGGGTGCGGTTTGTATACAGTCGAGGCTCTCAACAATCAAATTAGAGCACACCTTCAAATAGTACTGAGAAATATGGTTCTAATACTATAAAGTTTTGTGATAGCCTTAAATTATATTTTCATATTTAGTTATAAAATTAAAGCTTCAAAAATAGTGTAGATCGAGCAGATCTATGAAAACTTGAAAATCTTAAAAATTGCCAGTCTAAAAATTAGGTACAAGATGCACTATTTTCAAAACTTAAAATCCTTTTTTCTTCTCAAGTCCATGTATCTTGATGTCGAGATGATCAATTTGTTCATATTTGGGCATCAAGGCAACCTCTTCTAGTGAAAGTTTTGAGGTAGGCTCTAATTTGATTATTTAGAGCCTAGGTTCTATATAAACTTTTTCCAAAAAAAAAAGGGTTTATATGATTGCGAGGCTCTAAATAATCTAATTACGGCGCACCTCAAACTTTCACTAGAAGATGTTGTTTTGATGCCCAAATCTCCTCAAATAGATCATCTCGACCTCATGAGAAAAAATGGATTTCAAGTTTTGGAAATAGTGCATCTTGTAATACATTTTTGGACAGTCAATTTTCAAGATTTTCATAGATTTTCTCAATTTACACTATTTTTGAAGCTTTAAATTTTATAATTAGATATGAAAATATATTTTAAGGATATCATAAAGATTTCTAGTACTGAAACCACATTTCTCGACACTATTTGAAGGTACACTTTCCTTTAATTGTTTAGAGCCTCGGCCTTATGCAAACAACACCAAAAAAAAAAAGGACGAGGTTTCTATAAGACCTAGGCTTTATGAAAACAAAATAAAGCCTCAGCTAATATCCTTGTCCAAAAATTACTATTAGTGACGGAAATCTCTATGATGGCTCTAAAATCAATTTCCAACACTAATAATAAATTTTGAAACTAAAAAATTTAAAGCAAAATAGA